CCGCGGTGACGCGGGGCCCACGGTGACGCGGGGCCCAGCACCAGCACTGCGTTCCCAGCTCTGTCGCACGACCCTGCTGGTCCACCTCGCTGAGCAGCTGGCCGACACGTGAACTGAGGCAGCGTCTGAAGGGCTGATGCCGGGGTGCCGGCACAGATACCGTAGGAGTCGCCCGCAGGTCCTCACCGCTGATTCCATGGCCGGAGTGGTTCCCGACGCGTGTGGCTTCGGCGGGATGAGCGTGTGTCTGTCCTTCCTGAGAGAGCCGCACAGTCTTGAGTGCTGCGTGTCACCACCCACCCTGGCGGGGCCCAGGGCCTGTCACCTGAGGCCGGGAGCGGCCTGTGGCCCGGCTGTGGCGTGAGGGCCATGGTGCGGGGTTTTCCCGCTGCCAGCCGGTGACTGTTGACGTGGACACTGCTTGCTCGCTTGGCTTCAGCCTCTCCTCATTAGAGCTCACTCGGAGGTCTGCATGCTGCCCTTTGCCCTTCTGTTCTTACTACTTAAATCACCCAGGAGCCTCTAGAAGCCCGGGGCCTGACACTGTGGGATTCCACACAACCCCTATGGTTTTGTGGTTTTGTGCACCAGTGGTCATACATCTGCAGTACAGAGCTGTGTGTGTCCTGTGTCTCTGGTGCGTCCTGTGTCTCTGGTGCGTCCTGTGTCTCTGGTGCATCCTGTGTCTCTGGTGTGTCCTGTGTCTATGCTGTGTCCTGTGTCTGCTGTGTCCTGTGTCTCTGGTGCATCCTGTGTCTCTGCTGTGTCCTGTGTGTCTGCTGTGTCCTGTGTCTCTGGTGCATCCTGTGTCTCTGCTGTGTCCTGTGTCTGCTGTGTCCTGTGTCTCTGGTGCGTCCTGTGTCTGCTGTGTCCTGTGTGTCTGCTGTGTCCTGTGTCTCTGGTGCATCCTGTGTCTCTGGTGCGTCCTGTGTCTCTGGTGCGTCCTGTGTCTCTGGTGCGTCCTGTGTGTCTGGTGCATCCTGTGTCTCTGGTGTGTCCTGTGTCTCTGGTGTGTCCTGTGTCTCTGGTGTGTCCTGTGTCTCTGGTGTGTCCTGTGTCTCTGGTGCGTCCTGTGTCTATGCTGTGTCCTGTGTCTCTGGTGCGTCCTGTGTCTCTGCTGTGTCCTGTGTCTCTGGCACGTCCTGTGTCTCTGGTGCGTCCTGTGTGTCTGGTGCATCCTGTGTCTCTGGTGCGTCCTGTGTCTCTGCTGTGTCCTGTGTGTCTGGTGCATCCTGTGTCTCTGGTGTGTCCTGTGTCTATGCTGTGTCCTGTGTCTATGCTGTGTCCTGTGTCTCTGGTGCGTCCTGTGTCTATGCTGTGTCCTGTGTCTCTGGTGCGTCCTGTGTCTCTGCTGTGTCCTGTGTCTCTGGTGCGTCCTGTGTCTATGCTGTGT